GAAGGCCAGATTGGGGATATTGGTTTTCCGAGTCCCTTACCCAGATTACCAGAACTACTTCTCAGTCGAACGAGGCTGATGCATGAAAACCGTGCCCAGCAGAATATTTAAGTCACAATGTCCTTCAACCATACCCTGGAGTATAAATCGTAGAACGGTTTATAGCGGGGTCCAGCTCGCGAGCGCCTTTGCTTGCGCTGACCACATTACAACGCCAATCCAGGATCACTAATTTATCAGCGGAGAAAATCGGTAAAGTGTGGATCGACTCCCACAAGGTCTGGATATGAAGATCGTCGAATGAGTCGTACAGATCCAGCAAACGTCCGAACCACCCAGTAGGCGGAAAGGCTACGGAAGCGATCTTCACCTTCAGAGGCTTCCAAGCTCCTGGCGGTGATGCGTGGCGATCTGCGCCGAAGACCCTCAAGTAACCAGCGATCAAATGAGATTTTACACGCGATCACCCCATCCCCTACCACGGTCAAGCTAGGTATCGACTCGAGTCCACCGAGAAGAGTGCAACCCGCCCTACTGACGGGAACAAGGCGAGGATGGAATCAAGCACGACAAAGGAGTATCCCCTCCGCTAGTCGGTCGTCTGGGCACCAGTGGGGAGGAAGGATCACATCAGCAATTTTTTTTTTTTTGTGAACCCCGCTCCACCACAATGATTGCATCAACCACGCCAAATTTTAGTACCGCGTGAGCACCTTAATGTCCCGCGAGACCAGTAGCTTATAGCAGACATCCAATACCCGGAGCAGGTCCAAGACTTCTTTCTCCACCACACCATAGTCAAATTCATTCGTTTAAATCTTGGCTTGTGAACATAACCGTTCAATTGACCTCATCGTGTTCTTGCAACAGAGCAGCGGATACCGCCCATTTGCTAGCATAAACCACTTTCACTGGTCGACGATCTAAGTCAAAATTTCTGAGCACTGGGGTTTGAGCTACTTTTTCTTTTTATATGATGAACTTGACTATCAAGGCTTCTTCCTGATAATTATAACCTAAATATTCGCCATTGGTACCTTTAATTTTCGGGTGACCATGACTATTCATCGTTACCAGCTGGTGATCTTGGCCACCCGTAGGCATCTATCTGTCCGCTGTCACTATCGATCTAGGTAGTATGATCATGGTCATGGATGGCTTCACCATCACCTTCATGTTGTGCAATAGCCTAGTTTCGTGGAAAGTCGCCACCCTCAGTTCGTAAAGAACTGAGGCGTATATAAAGAAATTGTCTATGAACTGGATGTAGTAGTTTATGCTTCTTAAAAAGAATTGCATTAACCGCAATGTTTGGGGAAAAGGAATGTTATTAAAGTTCCTAAATCCTTCGGGTTGGCTTCTATTCCCGATATTGACACTTAGTGCCAGTGATGCGCGACCTTGCTTCGTCATCAAACACTCTTAGGCAAGCTGATTGACACATTCCACTAATCGCATCTTCCAAAAAAATATGTGCACCTATTAATTAAAAGACACCTATAATGACACCAGGACCAGAATATCAACAATTTAAGACCTCCGTCTTAAAACAGAAGGCCCTTGATGCGGGTTTGGCTCACCGTATGTAAGCGCATCGACCTGTCAAGACACCTCGTGATCTTTAACCATTGTCGATCACCGATTGTGAGGTACCCATACAGTGCGTTATCCACCATACGCTAATTTATCTGTAGAGCGTTCTTCTACCAGAACGGCATGCGTGACCATTCAGATATACCCGAAGGCGTAAAATATATAATCAAAGATCATTCGTGCTTTTTCCGTCATCCCAACAACCCGGCAAAGCTGGCCTTATCCAATATACAATACCATAGCGCTTTGTCTAGGTCCTGCAACAAGTCGTTGATCAGGGGCATGGGATATACCATTATCCTCCTCAATTGTTTGACTCTTCAATATTATATACACAATCGTATACCCCCCATTCTTTTTTGGAGTCACTACGATCGGCAACGCCCATGGCAAAGTTAGAGGACAGGCTAATTTTTGTCGAAATTAACCCTTTGATCAGGTCCGCCAACTTTTTACGGAACTTTGGGGTGACTGACCTTACTGGTTTTTTTGTGGGGCTGCTTCTCAAACGTCTATATCGCAGATGACACCTCGTGCAGCAAGTGGGAGGGCATTTCTTTGGCCATCAGAGGGTGTCGTTTCTTTCATATCAGCTGACGTAATTCCTCTTGCTCAATGTTTAACGGGACGCCTAGGTTACTCACCTTTTTGTCGTCAATTGTTACCTCGCACCACTTCACGTCTACTTCTGCTAAGACTGCCAGGTGTTGGTCAACATCTTCGGCGAACAACACTTTAATTTCGTGATGGTATGACGAGCACTCGCCTGCTTTATTGTTCGTGGTCGCTGCTTTCTGGTTCGTCGGATGGTCGGACGGTCGATGCACCTACAATCCTTTACAGCAGTCAGGTCTGGGCGATTGGAGGACTAATTTGCATACTATCAGGCACCCTATCCTTGATCAGTTTGAGAGTGAGTTTCTCCGAAAACTTGTATGGCTGACTGGTCTCTTACCGCCTTCCATCACATTAATAGGGGTGTTCTATTCGGCAGTCGCCGTTATTCGCTTTAAGGTTTCTATATGGAGCTCACTCGTTTGCTCCAGCTGATCAGGCGCCGAATCATAAACCACGTCACCGTTATATCTGTCACTAGTCCTACCAGGCATTATGATCACACTAACAAATAATGGCGATTGTCCTGGCTGTTATCTTATAAAAGGTCACCTTGCTCATCCATGTAATCACACGTCAGCATATCCTCTTCCAACTCTGCTTCCTCTTCTTCCACAACGGTCTCAGCGATATCCCTTGGTGGTCGATTCATAATGTTTGTTGGAGTCGAGTACGACGGGTGCTCAATCAGTGACCCATCTGCTTCCAAAACTTCTTCTTCGTCCGCAATAGCTTCTTACACGAATGTATGCCACTCCTGATATCGCCGTGACCCCACGGATACACACCCGGGTGACCGTAAGGTCCTATCCGCCGGCATCCTTTGCCCGAATGACGTCCCATGTTGGATGATCACCCCTTAATCGGTCAGGTCAGGCAATTAAGGAATGTCTCTACTCGTTTTAATTTTGATGTCTCTGTTTTACAGGGAACCATTAGGTGTATCAGCGATCTACTGTTGAAGTGTGATACTTACATACCTTAATCACTTCAAGCATTCCGTGCCACATATGTGCCAACTCACGAGCATATCCACATTTGACACAATTCAAGTTTATCCGTACCTGCAACCTTTCAATCAACATTTTGTGGACATCTCATAAAATATTATTTGAAGAGGTAGGTATGGCTGCACTTTATACGTGTGTGGTAAAGTCACTAATAAAATAATGGGATGATGGGACGTGGATCGATGTCCACCCAGTTTAGACGTCATTCACCGGCGGAAAATGATGCCAAGGGACCTGGCGATCCAATAAGGAGATGGAAAGTGATCCCAACGGAGAAAAACGATCCTCTCCAACTGTCGTCAGGTTTAAGGCGATGTGACGTGATTTGAGACGGGGCGTAGAAAGGGGTGATTTCCACGGTGCGATCTGGGACGAGGGACTGGATTGAACCGAACGACCACTCTGAAGGATGAACAAAGGCAAGGATGTGGATGTTGAAGCAGAATCATTCTGAGAAAGGCATCGTAGTACGCATAATGAACGGAAGAACAGATATGGCCGGATTGTACTGTGTCGATCCTCAACAATCTCGAATTGGACATCAGATCGGTCATGTTCCCTGCTGATTATGGATGTATCGATGATGGAGCTACTGGATGATGATCAACATGCTTGTTAAAGATCCATGAGTGATGTCCGAAAAGTTCAGATCGAAAGAGCCAGTGGAAGTCTGTTGAATTGACGTCGCAAAAAATACACATTCGGCATTTGGATACTATTTGGACTTTTCGGTACCAAAATTGGGTATTTGGTACCGCGTGAGGAATTTGGTCCCTTTTTGGTGTCCAGGTACGATATCGGGAATATTGGCGCTATCTTTGGAGTACAGGTCACGAAATTTCGACACGTGTTCAAGGGGGCGGTCAAAAAAGGTGATATCGGTTTGGAGAGTGACCTACGGTTAGGAACAGGCCTAAAGATAGATTGGCTAGTAATTTGGTTGGTAAATAAACAGACTTGACCTCTACTTCTTCTGCTCACGACGCGCGTTCCCCCCTTCTCTTCCCAGAAAGATTTCTTTGGCTTCCCCGAAGGTTTGAAGCACGCGTGCTACAAGGACACAGAAGACCGATCTTGGATTGTTGGCCAAGATCGAGAAGAGCGATCTCGGGAAGTTTGGCCCGGATCGATCAAGTACTCACACGCAACTCAACTGCTAGGATAGCAGCAACACGGTAAAGTATTTTGGTCACAAGATCGCGAGACGGCTCAAATGGTTGGAAGATCTGAACAAGGCGTTCAAGACAAGACTGAGCAAGATCGACGCGATCCACACGGCATATTGGCACGTTTCATTTTGGCGAAAAAAGACACCGATCTACCCAAGTTGCGCACTTCCAGCAAGACCGCCCGATCCCAAGACCAGATAGGACCGATCCCAAGGCAAAAACGACGCAAGACAACTATTTTCTGAGTGAAGAATTCCGCACAGCAAAGACCTCGATACCGAACACAAATCGAGATCGGTATGATCCAAGATCAAGACCGCAACATCTCCCAATAGAGATCGCCGCTACTCAAGATCAGGATCGCAGAACCCCTGTTCGTGGTGTGAAGATTTCCACACCGGAAGCGAACTCTTAACACCAAACCCTCAGTGATATCGACATCTTCCAAGGCCTTTACAAAGAGCTCAAGCCAGCCCAACCGACGGGTACACAAGGTGAGCACAAGGTTATACAACAAGCACGGATCAGAGTACCCCCTCCGTGAGTCGGCAAGTCTGGGCAAGTTGAAGATCGACACTCACTCCAGCAATTTTGTGAGATGGACTTCACCACAATGTTGCACGTGCCCGGATCTTCTGAGGCCTCTGGATTTTACCGTGAGTTCACTGGTGAAGATGTCGGAATCGAGCAAGAACCTGGGATTGAAGTGTCAGCGATAGAGGGATCGACACAGACACGGAATAGCGCGAGATCCCCAGATCATCAGAGCTTTAAGAGGGACTCTGATGAGCTGAAAAAGAAAGAGGAAGATCGAAAGATCGATATGGAAGATAGACCTCGACCCCCACCAAGCGTCCCTTCGGGGGCCACCACAGATCGCTCTGCAAAGAGCGATGTGATAGATGAAAACCCAATGGTGAAAACCAAACCGGTGAAAGCCAAACCCTATCTTCTCGTCGACAGGTACCCTGACCTCAAGTCGAGAAAGACGATCACGAGGTCTACCACACCGGGTCGAGCTAAGATGAAAACGCCGAGATCGGAAGGCAAGGATCGCCAGATCGACCAGACCGTAGAAACGAAGATCGGAGTCAAAGAGGAACACGATAAAAAAAATTGACGAGATCGCGATGCCAAAGACCGAATGTGACTCAGTGAAGATCGCGCCCATGGAGAATGAAACGGTGGATAAGGGGTGGGAGCGCGCGAAGTGGCAGTTTTTTAAAGCCATTTGAAGACACTGCTCAAGACAGACCTAGTGTTCAAGATATTACGGCCCAAGCTGATCGGTCATCTGGATAGGCCAATCTCAGTCCCGCCGCCTGGACTTAGCAAACTCGACACGATCAATTTGATTTTGCGGATGTTAAAAGACATGGTTTTTTTGCCTAATGCTTCCGATGGAGATGACTAGCTGAGTTGCATCTTGGAACAGTTGGAGAACGCAATGAGTGAATTCGTGGAGATCATGACACTTATGGTGGGCAAGACCACTACTCCTAAAGACAAGATCGCTATACACTCGGACTCACTCCGGGAGCGCCTCGCAGGATCGCCCCACTATGCCTCAGCTGACTCCGAGATCGAATCAGATGGGTCCATCAGCATTCGCCTGATGTCTCTAGGACCATCGGGAGGATCGTTTCTACAGAACAGGATCGGCAAGGCCAAGATCGACGCCTTTATAAGAGCAAGCCAAGATCGACACACAACTAAGGTCGGCCGGTGCCACCTACTAGACTGGAAGATCAAGAGGGGGCGACCTGAGTCGTTTCTTTAATACAGCAATGGAGAAGTACAAGGCGGATCAACGAGCAGCCCAAAGAATGAACCGACAGCCAAGCCGTTACTTAGATCGCTGTACTATTCTCCAACCTTTGCAAGAAAGCTACGACATGCCGGATGTGGATATGGAATCGGTGGAGTCCAACACTTACAATTAGATCAATCAGAGGGCGGAATACGATCCGGATGACCTGTGGATGGCTGAACCGAGACGACCTTAAGTTGCTGCGACCGGTGTGTCTACTATAACCAGTTATGTCACTCAGAAGATCAGAATCTCAGTGATCTCCGAGCTAAAGGAGTTCTCGGGAAAGGATCGGGAAGAAGATCGGGCGCGAATCTGGATGTGCAAAGTGAAATCTGCGTTCCTCCAAGACGAAGCGCCGGACGAAGAGAAATGTCTAGTCTCTCGGCGAGTTAATGGTGGGCCCAGCTTGCTACTGGTATCGCCAGCTGAGCAGATCGACGATATTCAAGTGGAAGGGTCTGATAAACAGCATTCTTGTGGAATATGCGGGGCACGGGATTTCAGCGAGCTGGCAATATTACCACGCAAAGAAGCGATCGGAGGAGGGTCCCTTGGAATGCTTGTATCGGATCAACGTGATGGGAATGCAGGCGAATATAGGTGATGACGGGATTGCCAGATGCACGCAAGGAACATGTCAACCATTTCATTTACACCTTAAATGATCCCGATCTTTCCAATCAACTACTGTTGTGGAATGTGGAAGACGCGGAGGCCATGCACACGATACTGCATGGATACCAACGAGGGAGATCGCATCAAGGGAAAGTGATGATGGGATCGTCCAAATTTAGACAGAAGGGAGCGCATGCTCCAGTGTCGTCTTAGCCCGCACGGGCGGTGAGGATGATCCGTACCGAGGACGTCAGCAGCAATCAGGATCAGACATCTATGTATCGGAATCAGAAGATCGTTTGAGATCAATTCATGTGGCCTCTACTACAGATCGACGCAAATCGACCTGCGATACTTTAGCGAACACGAGATCAGAAGACCCGAATACTCGTCAAGACTACCAAGGTCGCAGTGTGACACAGGACCGTGTACTCATTGTGGATCGACCAAGCATGTAGATCTCGGTTGCTGGAAGCGGCTCACTTGCCAGAAGTGTGGGCGCAAAGGACATTCATCCGACAATTGCTTCTTCGTGTGTCGCGCCTTCGGTGAGATGCATGACCTAGTAAAGTGTCCGATGGAGGACTTTCACAACATGATCCGCCAGTGGTATGTCTCCATCAAGCATGTGGGGATGTTACCGGAGAAGGCCGAGAAAATGTTAAACTAGGACGCTCGCCAGGTTGGAATCTGGTACGAGCCAAGCGTTCTAGGCTCTGCATATTTGCATACGTGGAGAAAAAGGAGACATGTCGCGAGAGTAAGCAGGATACAGATATGGAAATAAACATATCTCGTTTGAAGTCAAGACGTGTCACTACTGTTTCCTATCTGAAGAGGATCGACGAGTACTCACGATCTGAACCAACTGTGAAGATCGAGCTCGCTTTTGGTGAATCTCGCGGATACTGGAAGCATTACTCGCCCGGGAAGTAATTTAAGCAGGTGAAGGGTGTTGGCAAGATCAACAACATAAAAGCCACTCTGTTATTTGATGCTGGTGCTGAAGTGTCGATTATTGACACCACCTTTGCTCGTAAGGTCGGTTGCATTATTGACGAAAGTGAACGAAAAGAATGTATCGGGATCGGAGAAATTCCGTACATGACGATAGGACGTACCAAGATCAAGGTAACTTTTGCGGGATCGCTGGTATGTTATTTCAATGTATGGGTAGGCGATCGAGCGGGACAAGACGCGATCTTGGGAATGGATTTTATGGTACCTGCCGGAGTGCGGCTCGATCTAGCCGACGGCGCGCTATTTCTACCAGAAGGAGTCCGTATTCACCTCGCAGGAAGTCGCCCCGCGTACGGATCGAAGGTAAAGAATGTGACGGCAAGTGATTAACACGTAATAACCCCAGTCGGGGAGTCAAGAGAAGTGAAGATTGGGATCGGTGGGGCCAAGATGAAGTTGTGTGTCGCCAGAGGACCCGACTGGGTACCTACGGTGATCTCGGGGTTTGGCTGAAGGAAGTATCTGCAGACAACCAATATTGGCGATCGCGAGATTTTACTGTCTACTCTTGCCATACTGGGCGTGTGGATGGAAGGCGACATGATACCGAGGACTCAAGGCTTCGTGTCGGTTGGACCGGGGAAATGCAAAGAGTGGTAAACTCTGGCGTATGAAGATACGACAGATCGAGTAAATGAACTTTTAAAGAACAGATCGGGCCATTGATAGATCGCCCTACGTATGCCAACCCCCTCTAAATTGCATCATGAAACGACCGTCTGATGCGCTAAAGGACACACCTCCAGCGGTCTCCATGGTAATGCGGCAAGCTGGCGACGAGGAATTGCAAAGGGCAGATGCCGTTGTTACGGGAAAAGGAACAATCAACGGAGTCGGCTCGACTCCACTCGATGAGAAATATCTACCTTCGATGGATAACGATCATGGGATCAAAACCGAGATCGCAATGAGAAAAGATCACGCGATCGAACAAGTAGTACAAGGCAATAGACTGTCTTCATTGGACGTCGATCTTGCAGACAACAGATCAGAATTGAATTAGTCCGAGGAGGTACAAGGGTGTGGGGAGGAGAAGTCGTCCAAGATCGACGAAACTGAGATTGCGGAAGCACCAGTCTACTATCATGAGAGTGTAGAATTGTTTGTCGAAGACATCGAGCAACACCTGGCGGTGTTGCCCGAGATTTTGGAATATACGGAATAAGTTACAATTGATGACATTCAGATCGGCGACCTTAACGTCCTTCTCACCACAGATCAACAGACTCAGATCGTTGATATGAAAGAGCCGTCATCTCCTTATGGTAAAAGGCAATGCCCTATCGCCAGCAGCACGAGGGGCGATCTGTGACATCAATGTCGGTGGGGCCGCACCAATAGCATAAAGAGTCCGCCCGGTCGCGCTTAGATTTAGGTAGAAGTTATCGGAGCTCATCAAAGGGTTCCTAGTGGCCAATACCATTTAGTCATCCACATCGCCTTGGGCGTCTTCGATAGTGGTGATCATCAAGAAGAATGGAGTAGATATTCGCCTTTCTATTGATTATCGAATGGTGAATTAGCTGACGCGGCTATTGGTTTACCCCATGCCGCTGATCAGCGATCTGCTCGAAGGTTTGGATAAGGCTCTATGGTAATTCTCGTTAGATATGGCCAGTGAGTTTTGGGTCGTAGAAATGACTGATCGCGCGAAACTGATCTCAGCATTTGTCACGCCGTTAGGCCTTTTCGAGTGGCTACGACTGCCCTTTGGACGTAAGAATGCGCCCCAGATCTATCAACGTCTTGTTAATAACGCGTTGTATGGATATCTCAAGATCGGCCAGAGTTCATCTTCGGACTTGCAGATCGATGTATTCAAAGATGGAGAATCTGAGATAGATCGACGACCATCTATAATAGGGCGGCGATCGTACATCGACATCATCTTCATACCGGCCACGTCATGAGATTTTTTATTTTCAAAATGGAACGACTGCTGGAGGCATGAAACAAGTGGAATCTGTATATCGGACTTACAAAGAGTTGTTAGGGGTGTTGCAAGGTCGATTATATGGGACACCGAGTGTAGATGGACGGTCTGGAGGCTCTACCAAAACACTTGGAATCGTTGGTCAACATCCCGTTTCCTAGCACGCTGCAAGCTATGCAATCTTTTCTCGGAAGCCTGAATTACTACCGCCGCTCCATTGAGGATTTTGCGGTGTATGCCGCTGTATTATATGAGCTAAGGGGATCGAATTTCTTCGAGATCGGTCGATCTTAACTCGCATCAGGGGACGTTTGGTCGCACGAAGATCGATGGAAGGAAGCCAAGGTTGTTTTCACTATGCTGAAGTCTAAGATAGCTACAGTACCTGTGCTTAAACAGTTCGACCCAGATCGCCCTCCCGTGATCGTGGTCTACGCTAGTAAGTGGGCTGTCTCAGCGGCCCTGATACAGGAGTATGATAGCGTGTATCATCCGGTGGCGTTCACGAGCAGCACTCTGAAGCTGAATGAGCTTAAATACGGGGCGGTGGAGAAGGAAGTGCTGGCGTTACTACGTGTTTTGAACGTACGCTACACTACACTAGCTTCACAAGAGATCACTGTGCTGACCCGACATTCCACGTTAGCGTGGTTGATGCAGTCCCGAGGGCTTAACGGGAGATTAGGACGGTGGGCTGCTCTGCTGTCAAACTGGACTATGGAGGTAAAGAAATGCGAAAAAGGAGAGGAAGCGATACTGGGTGTGTTGGCAGCGAGTATTGCTCCGAGAGAAGAGGTGAAAGAGATACTGATTGCAATCTCCCCGCGAAAGGACTGCCGACTCAAGATTTCAACGCCTCCTCCAACGGTGGAAGCTGATGAGGAATTGCTAGTAGCCAGTTTCGATGGATCGGCGAGGATAAAGAAGAAAGGAGGGTCTTACAGTGCCGTGATGCGGAGGCTTCCTGAGTGGACAATCTTGGCGGCAGAATCTAGATATGCTCTCGACCTGACCGTGAACGAAGCTTAGTTTATTAACTTGCTATTATGCTTTGAGTTACTTGCCGATCTGGACAGGGGGCGAGTAATTTTTGTGAAGACTCGAATTTGTTGATTCGACGGATGCGCGGTGAGATCGACTGCAAGGCACCGGGCGTTCACCTTATCAGGCATAAACAGTTGCAGAAATTGCGATCGTGGACGAGTCACGAATTCTTGCATATGAAGCGAGAATGGGATTAAAGTGCAGATCGACTAGCCAGCACAGCATTGCAGAATGAAAAAGGAAGAATTGTTGTAGCTGAAAAAGATCAGCGAGATCTAATTACTTTGAACCGCCTAGATGAACTGTTAAAACCCAAGCATATGGGTCAGCTTGCTCGATTAACGGCAATCACGATATCGAGCGGGAGGGGACGTCATCAGCCCGAAGTGTTACAGGAAGAGATGGTGCAGAGGATTAGGATTCGAAAAATTGGCCAAGCTTAAAATGAGGAGAGTTGGATTGTAAAATTTTTTAATCTAAATGGCGATGTATCTGGCCTGGACGCAGGAGAAGTGAAGATGTGCGCGAAACTGGCGCCGGAGTACGAGATTGATGAGAATGATCTGCTTTTCTTCTGCCCCACGGCAAAGAGAGAATTAGAAGATCGCGACGGTTTGATGCATGTGGTGATCCTAGAGACGTTGCAACAGGATTTTCTGCACCACTCTAACGCTAGTCTGGAAGGAGGACATCAGGGTATTGGCAGGACTTATCAGAGGATCAGATCGCGATTCCACTATAGAGGGCTGTATCAGAGTGTGCAACGATATGTGGGCGAATGTACCGAGTGTGAGACCGGAAAGAAATGTGTTCACGATATATGAGAGATGGCCTGGCAATTTACATGCGACCTATCCAATTCAGATTATCGCAACGGACCACATACTGTCGTTGCCCAAGTCGCTCAAGGGGCATACAGAGCTACTCATTTGGGTCGATCTTCTGTCAGGGTACGTGATCGCAAAAGCTAGCTCGTCACGGAGCGCACAAACGATCGCAGAATATTGCGAAGAATGTGTGTTCCGACGCCTCGGAGCTAGCGAAGATATCAGGCATGATCGGGAGCCGGTATTTGCGTCCGACTTCTTCCGAGCTTTCATCCAGATCGTAGGACAAAAACTACGTGCCACCATGGCGCACCGACCACAAGCAAATGAAACGGCCGAACGAATGGTGCAAACTTTGACGCGGTCGCTTGAGATGTATGTTGCCGATGTCGACTAACGAGACTGGATGAGTATGCTAAACGGCTCACCTTTGCGATTAACACCGCACAAGATCAAATCATAGGGGATACCTCATTCCACTTGATTCATGGGTGGGATCCGCAAATCGACGTTGGAAGCTACGCTATCAGTGGGGAACACGTGAACACGAGATCGCAATCCTAAAAGATGAAGATACCGCATCCAAAGACAATATCAGCGGGCCCGATCTGCAGTGAACGGTCATTTACAAGCTGCAATCCAGGAGAGAGCGGATCGACACAATGAAGACCTGGAGCCACACGAAATAAAAGTGGGTACACAATTTTGGCTGTGCCTGGATAGAGTCAAAGAGGGATATGCGAAGAATCTAGCGCATATGTGGCATGGTCTATTCCGAGTTGCGGATATATGTGGATATCATGCTGTGAAATCGGAGATCGCTGGAACCCCATATTGGCTATTTCCGATTGTACATCTATCGAAGCTGAAGAAGGTAAAGACGTTCCCTGAACGGCCGAAGGATCAGCTTACGATAGACGAAGCAGATCGTTTGGACTTTGATGAAGCTATGTTGCCAGAAGCGAGGTGGGAGAGCGATCTTGAAGAGGGAGAATACGAAGTAGAAGAAACACTGGACGTGCGATCTGGTAGGAAAACCCGTTATGGGCGAGTACACCGACAGATTCTGGTGAAGTGGAAGGGACATCCCGATTTAAGTTGGGTAGATGAGGCCGATCTGAGTTGTGGGGCAATCTTGCAGGAGTTTGAGCGGAGCCGAGTGAGTCGAAACCGTTTCGAAAGGATGCAGTCACACGAAGGCAAGTAGGACGAATCTTAACGGTCGGGGCAGATATGATGGAAGGCAGCATATGCAGATGGATGGGTTGCAAGGTGTGCTAGGCGGTAGCATACGCTGATGAATGGGGTGGTAAGGTGTGCTAGGAGTTGGTTCATGCGGATGGATGGAGCTATGTGTGTAAGTATGGAGACAGTCCAGTGAATTACCTTACAAAATGACGTGGAGCGAGAGCAAATCGAAGTTGTGAAATTTGCGAAGAGTGAATTACCAAAGATGACGATTGAAAGACGTACACAAATTTGAAAGACGATCGGGCTCGAGTATCGATCTCGGACTAAAATGATGGAGCAGGCTTGAACTTGTTCTGGAGACAAGGAATTTGCAATTCCGAATGGTCTAAATAAGCGTTGCGGAACTAGTTGCGCCAAGGACTTTCACGGTCGGCTATTTCTAAAGTCTCTAGCAGGTCGGGTGGGTCGGCAAAATGCCCCAATCCGGGATAGCAAACTTGCTCTTCATGCATGCGCGGGTAATGCAAAAAGAAGGATCGAGCAGGACACCAGATCGCAGTGGCCGTCGATCATGCCGCGGAGTATCTTCTACAGGAAATTTTTCCAACGTGCTCCGAAACGAGATCGAAGCTGTTTCCGCTGAATCTAAAACGTTAGCAGGAATCGATCAGTCGTCGTTGAGCCGGAGAGATCGGGAAAGCGTTCGTGAATTCCCACAGCGCTTGGCGATGACTGGACTCCAGCTCCAGATAATAAGTGCCCATGTCCCCATACCATCCGGTTAAAGAAAATGAGATCGGGTTCACGGGGATCACGATGTTACACCAGGGAGATCGGGCGTTTAGAGCCTCGTTGTGTCGCCGCAAGATTACGCCCAAGTCCCCGTAGGTGGAGCTTGTCCATGAGAGTGGGAGGGGAATAAAAAATGCCTAGGATTGGAGTAGTGGTGGAACAACAACTCAATCGACATCGTCCTCACGCAAACCATCGCGATCCGCGAGGCTGACCAAGAAGCAATTCCAAAAGCTACCCGACGGGAAGGTGCCAAATAGTTGGGGATCAACCGATCCCGTGGTTGCTGAAGTGGCGGGAGATTGTTAGAGTCGGCAGTCGCGAGGACTCTGTTAGCCACCTGGCGCACCGGAATGGTGATGTTGTTGTCGCTATCGGACAAAAGGCTGGCCGGGAGTGTAGTAAATTCCATGGGCAAACTAACAGAGCCGATCTCGCTGGGTGCTTCTTCCGGCAACGACATATCCACATCCCCTGTGTCATCATCATCCGAAATGTAAATTACAGGAGCAGTCGCAACCGAAAAAGTCGAATAAGTGAGATAATGAGGCTCCGGCTCGTTCGGTGAAGGCGAACGCGACAGTTTTTGGCCGATCACAGTTGTCACGGACGAAGTGGAATCTGTTGGAGTAGCCGCTGAGGGGTCTGGAGTTGCAGATCGGTCGTCTGATCTCGGTTGACGGCAAGCGGCCGACCTAGATTGGGACATTACAGACCGAGTCACGTCATCCGAGCTAGAGTCAGACTTGGTCAGCTCTCCACTTCCCGATCCAGTCCCAGAAGCCGCAGACAGAGGTGGAGGAGAAGAAGAAATTGGATGAAGGCGCTGGTGTGGCCGATCGGGAAAGTTTCTTGGAGGGTGTTGAGATGTTAAACGATGATAGTTGAATGCCCGCTCGGGTTACGGAAAAACACTTGGACCGTAATCTCGGTTGATCACTCTGACGCTTGGCTGGCGGAGCAGAAGATCTCGGTCGGGTCTTACGGATATGTGATCCCACCCCCTAGACGGCAGAAGCAGAGATCGATCCCACCGGAGTAGCGTCTCTGGGGGTCGAATTGGGGGTCACCGCAGACGACTGGGACCCGAGTATGGCACTGTTCAGTGTGTCAAGAAGCGCACGATGTTCTGCCACGGCCCGATCACGATCTTGCTCCGCCACCACCAAGCGGTCGTATACTGCAAGATGTTCTGCAAGCTGAAGACGGAGGTTGACATTCTCGACCTGCGACTGTGTCAGCTGACCTTCCAAAATACCCAAGTAATCCACTTGCTGTATGAGATCGCCGACTGCAGTTAAACCCTCTTCGATCTCCGCTCGAGGTCGACACAGCTCCGTGTTCAATTTGGAAACTTACGTGCTGAGGAGGGACTTGTCGGAGGCCAACTGGTCACGCTGCTGTCGGAGGATATTACGATCCGCTTGGAGTGAGCGGACCTGCACCTCTAAGGTGCCCATCTTCTGTTCTAAGCGGGTCAGTTCTTGATGGCTGGCACGTAACAACTCATTCAACCGAAGAATCGTCGCCTACTGATCGCGACGGGTCCGCAGAGCCATCCGGCAATCTTTCAGGGAATGAACGGCGTCGATATATCGGACTTGCATCAAGTCGAACAGACGCTGGAAGAAATAGACAAAGGGGGCGGCCGATCTATTTGAAGAGTCGATCTCTTCCTGCAAGCGATCTCCTCGCGCAACAGACTCTCGGTGTGACTGCTGAAGCGCGAGGATGGTATCCGCTTGGCTGCGGAAAGTGGCCTCTCGATACCATAAATACGTGATCGTCGCCAACGTAGATCGGACGTCCTTCGCGAAAAATCTCGGGACATGTTCGATGATGTCCACAATTGGAGCGGACTCACGAAGAGACCCACTAGTGGCCAGTATGTCGGATTTAAATGCGCCAAGATGAGCTGACGATGTGAGAGGAGCGATCGACTCCGGCGGGCGGTCTGGGGAGCCCATAAGAATCAATAACGATCCGACTGGTCCAGAATGGATTAAAAACTCGGGTTGATCAAAGGCCGTGGCAAAATGCTCCTCCCGATCTAACGATCTGGCCAGCAGATCTTGGTCTGGAGACATAGACCCTGTCGGGCGTCGATCCGGCGATCTCACAGGGTTGGGTGGCGATCCGGCCGTACCAAAAAGTCTTGGGGACCTAGGCCGATCC